TTGCTGAGTGAACCGATTGTAGAGGAAGGTATGTCTCCTTCTGACTCCATGCCCTGGATAAACCATAAGACTAGTGCCACTTTGCTTGGTTGATTGGACGTAGGCCGTCTGCTTGCTTCTCCTTACCTTTAGGAACTTCTTGGATTTCAGATTCTACTTTCCCACTGTACTTCTAGTATTTAAATATGACTACTCCTAATATCTTATTGAGTACTTACTATATGCATATACCATACTTATTACCTCACATATCTTAACTCATTTTTTCTGCACGAAGATCATAGCTTTATGTTGGTACTTTATTATGTCCATTTTACAGATGTGAAAACTGAGGCTCAAAGAAGTTAAACAACTTGCCCAAGGTTCCCTAGGTAGTAAATGGTGGAGCCAGCAATAAACTCAGGCAGTGTGATGCCAGTATCCACCTGCCAGGCTTCGAATTCCTGGATTTGAAGTGCCACACAGCATAGATCTGTCCGAGGTCCACCGGACCACTGGAACTATAGCTCTGGCCTCCCCAGACTGGCCCCTATTATAGACTCCTTGTCCCTCCCAGCAACACGAGGCCCCTCTCATCCACGCTAGGGGAGGCTGACCACTGTTGCTCTCTTCCCACCCGGACAGAGATCAGAAATGATGACTATCCTATAGTGAGGCTGAGGCTGAGGAAATTCCTGTTTGCTTTCTAGGGAGGTTTAGCTTTTGAGTGGACCCCAAACAATATTTTCTTTAGGTATTTTTTTCTAAACCAGTCTTTCTAACAGGTGATTGCTCTGAAGTTACTGCTTGAAATAAGTTTGAGAAAGAGGCAAAGGTGACCTCTATGAACTTCGTTTGAGTCAAACTTCTTTCACTCCCAAGCCAATGAGACACTGTCTTTCCTTAAAGCACCTGTCTGGCATCAGCAAGGGAAAGCGCAAAGCTGCAGTACTAATGGTGAGAAGGAAAGGATAGCAACTTCAAGCTTGCCATATATGGCATCTGACTTTCAACAATGAGCGACCCTGCTTCCTGTCGGTTGGTAACACTGAGTGGCTAGTGTAGCACAATGATAGGAAAACGCTGAGCATACAACAACAAACCAAGGAATAAACAGTGCCCAAGTTTTTCTTTAAACCAACATGTGCGGCTTGGTGGGTTGGAGTGTTTTATTTATATTGCTATGCAACGGAGGAAAAAAATAAAGGTGATTTCAACGAAAGGCACAGGAATATGCCGTGCTACCCGACTACAGTGTCTGAATTTAGACTGATGTTGGGAGGGGTTTCACGTCAGACGCCAGCCACGATAACAGAAATTAACTCAGTGGGGCTAATGTCGAGGCTTTACTTTTGTTTTTAAAAATTCAATGGTGAATACAGTCAGTGGCCCTGGGCCAGGGAGTGCTGTGCTGGCTTGGGCAGAATCTAGCTGAATATTTACACAACCAGGAGCACAGCCCAGGGAAACTTAGACGGAGCTGCCAGAGGAGGCTGCAAAACGATTTGTCAAATGACAGATCACAAAACATACTCCGCTCCACCTCCATGCCTGCCGCTGACGAGTTTCTGACAGGAAAGGAAGTGCTGTCACCCAGGGGACCTTATATCTCAGAGGGCAGGCACATGAGTGTGTATACATGTTACACTTTAAGTCACGGCTAAAGCCTGTCCTTCCAGGAAAGCTGTCCTCTTGCTCCTTCTCCAGACTTCCCACAAAGCCCTCCAACCAGGAAAAAACAACTTCAGAAACTAGGGTGGAGCTTTTCTGGAATCAGGTTCCCTCCCTAATATCTAGACTAATATCTAGATATTAGTCCCTCAATATCTAGATAATTAATCCCACACGATTGCTCTCCCCTAAATCACTAGGTACCTGTTCTGGTCTGCCCTTTTTGCTTTGGTTGTGCGGGTGTAGACACGGGAAGGTAGCCAGTACCTGCTGCTATTCTGCTCAGCAGCCTCCCAACCCCGCCATGGAACCGGGGGAGGCGAAGGTCCCCATATTTCCCTACTGTGCTTGATTTATGTAAGCAGAGGACAGACAGCTCGGTAATGAGCAGGTAGAGGTAGACTCAGTCCTTCAGATATAATTGACAATTGATTATCTGTTCAAATCAAGAAGGCCACTCATACCACGTTCTCTAACCTGAAGATTCACTAATTCATTCTACACATATTTGTTGAGTGCCTCCTATGTGCCGGGCACTATTCTCGGTGCCGGGGATACAGCTGTGAAAAAAACAGAAAAAAATTCCTGCTCTCAGAGTGTTTTAAGTTCTAGTGGGGAAAACTCACAAGTACAAATTGAAAGGATAATGTACAGTTCTCCTCAAATGGAGAGAAGCAGCAAGTCACTTGGCAAACATATATACTGTTCCCCAACATTAAGGGGATCAGAAAGAGAGCTAACACTTACTGAATGCTTACTATGTGCCAGGCACTTAGTAATAATTAAAATTTTTTGAGTACTTACTATGTACCAGGCTTATAGAAATCTGAGGTCAGATACTTTACATATATCCTTTTAATCCTCTCAACAACTTTATTACTCCAATTGTGCAGATGAGAAAACAAGAGTAGAAGTAAGAATAAGTTGCTCTAGCGCACTCTGCTTGTACAAGCACAGCCTGCTCAGGGTCTCTGTGCGCAAGCCTGATGGCTTTCTCGGTCAGATGGTGGCCCACACACCCCCTTGCTCTGTTCCTCTGTTGGTGGATGGTGCCCACCTTTGCCCACCTCCCTTCTCCCAGTCCTTCAAGGTTCAGCTTAAATATCTCCTGGTTAAGGAGAACTTCTCTGTTTCCTCACTACTACTGTGATCCTTTCTGTAAACTCCTTAATTAGATCGTGTATCTACAAAGTCACATCTAACCTCAGTGGCTCACACATGGAGGCACTTAAACATTGCGTTGTTCCCACTTCCCTTCCTTGCTGTGTTTCTGGTCAACAGCGTGAAATTTGTCACTTGATACACTGTCTTATTTTTGTGTTGTTGTGCTATATGCTTTGGTCTCGTTTCCTCAACTAGATTAGCAGCTTAGGGGACAGTGTTTATATTTGTAAATTATTATTTGTTTAATAATTGTTTAATAGAGTAGTTCTCAAACTTGAGATCAGAATTACCTGATTGCTGGGTCCCTCCCCTGATTCAACAGCTTTGGGATAGGCTGCAAAGGCGCCTCTCTGACAAATCCCCAGGAGAGGTTGATGCTGCTGGTCCAGGAACCACACTTTTGAGAACAACTGGTTAACTGAATGCGGCACAGCACTTAAGAGCAGGGAGGCTGAGTTTGCGTCCTATCTCTGCCACTCACTAGCTGTGTGATCTTGAGCAAGTAAACCTATTTGAGCCTCTGTTTGCTCATCTATAAAAATGGGGATAATAATAGTATGGACATCAGAATTGTCGTGAGGATTAAGTGTAATCGTGAATGTAAAATGCTTAGCACCGTCCCAGACACACTGAACACATTCAATAAATGCTTCTAATTATCCCTGGGAAGGCTGGCACAACATCGGGCACTAGATAAGCAATGCACTCAGCCTAAGAATTCCTTCTCAGGCTTAAAACTTCTTTTGAATTTGTAAGCAGTGAGAGTGAAGGGTGTCACTTTAGCATGACATCTATAATGAACAGCTTTTGAAATTAAGCCAGACTACTAAAAAAACACAACATAAAGGGCCTTCAGAAATGCCCTTCCCTATAGTATGCTGCATGTAAATGACCAGGTGTACAAAAGCCATGTGTATCTTTAAGATTCTGGGGATGTCCACGAGGTACCTCCTTCACACCTTCCACTGTGAAAGGATGCTGAAGATGGCCCCTTGGCCTCTGAAGAGCCTGGAGTTGCTGGAATCACCCCGGCTTCTTGGCTGATGGGTTGGCAGACACAGAGACCATCATTCAATAATTAAATAGTTGCAGTCATGGGAACACAAGTTTCCCAGAGCAGAGAGGACAGCTACCTCCTCCAGCCCAGTGGTTTCAAATCACTCAGGCCCCTGCTGCTCCCTTCCCCTCTAAGCACCTCTTCACCCCAAGCAGGCTCTGTATTTTCCCTCAGCTTCTATCTGAGCACTTACCCTGGCTGACATTCTCTTAAGAAAGCCCAAGAGGAAACGTGCAGAAAAGACAATTTTCAGACCTTGTCTCACAGTCCTCCAGGGCCTGGGACAGGGTATCCAGGGATCCAGTGATGCTCTAGCCCTAATCACGTCTCATTAACACAGGAGACTAGGGTCAAGGCCCTATCTCTCAGTGAGGCATTAATCCCGGGAATGCTGTCAGTTCCATAAAGCCCTGCAAAGTTGAATGAGATCATCTCTGGGAGCATTAGTATTTAGCAGACGCTGCAGGCTGGCGGTTGTGAGGGGACGCCGCTGTTCCTCGGAAGCCCCTCTGCTCTCCACCCTGCTGACAGAGGAGCACCTTCCACCGCCTCTCATCCAGCGGTACCCTTCCCTGATGCCCAGAGAGAGGACGCTCCCTCCCTTCAATTTTCACTCCTACCCCTAATTTCCTATACAAAACAGCCGATGGCGTGTCCACACACCTCGCATGGGGCACCACCCCAGGCAGCCCCAAGGGCAGGGGTTTCTCTTCCAACGCCCTGGCCAGGCCTGGGCTCCAGCTGGAAGGCAGAGAGGAGGAAGGGGGTGTGTGCACGGCGGGCTGGAGGGGAGCGGGGGCCGCCAGGGCCGGAGCCCTCAGGGGGTGAGGAGAGGCCGTCCCCGCACCTGCGTTTCCAGCTGGGAGGCAAGGACCAAGGCAGGGGTTTCCTCTGCCGCACGGCGTCTCTCCCCTTCTCTCCATCTCTCGTTGATCGATCTTCTCTCCCTCCGCTCTCTCCCCGCCATCCCTCCCCTCCCTCTTTGTCTGTCGCCTTCTCGCCCTGCCTTTTGAACACCCTGCCCTCTCCCGGAGCGCGGCTCGGGCGCCGCAGCGGTCAGCTCCCCGGGGACCCCGGCCCCGCGCCCGCCGCCCGGCCCCCTGCCCGGCCCTCCAGCTCCGGCTCTCACCCAGAAGAGCAGGTTGAAGCCGAGCAGCAGGTACTTGATGCACCGCAGGCCCCCGCGGAAGCGCCCCATGCTGCGGCCCTGGCGGCGGGCTCGCGAGTCCCCGGGCCCGCGCTCCGAGCGCTGGGAGCGGCGGGCGCCGGCGGGGACGGGGCGGAGTGGGGCGGACCGCGGGCGGGGCCTCCGGGGGCGGGGCGCGGGGGGCCGGGGCCTGCGAGGACCCCGAGCCGAGAGGCTGGCGAGGGGCGGGGGCGCCGCGAGGGTGCAGGCCAAGCGTCCAGAAGCAGCGCGTCCGCTCTTCCCCGGACGCAAGGGCCACCTCCGTCCCTCCTGATGCGGGGACCACCTTCCTAACCTCCCGCGGGTGCCCCGCTCCCGGCGGCTGTCCGAGCATCTGCGAGGAAGGAGCGTCCACTGGGGACGCGGAACCCGGTTAATCAGCGCCCTGTGCCGAGACTCCTTTGGGGCCCGCGATGATGGTTGAGAGATAAGGACGCGGCCACCGTGGCTGTGGAAACCTAGGAAGGTGACTTCAGGTGGAAGAGAGATGGAGGACCCGAGGCCTCCCTGAAGCTGGCAGGACCCGTCGCGGGGCCCCCCGCCGAGTGGCCAGAGGTGTGGTTCCTCGGCTCAGGCCAGCACACAGGCCGCAGAGGCCTCTTCTAGGGGACCCTCCATCTGGCCCCTCCCGCGCTCCTCTGAGGACGCTTACCTTAATAGGCAAGAACCGGGAGAAGGCGCAGGAGGCGGCTGCCTGGGCCCTGACGGCTGCTCCCCACCCTGCTCAGCTGGCCGGTGCAAGAGTCAGCCTCAGACTCCGCAGGTCCTGCTGGGTTCCGCTGATGGGAGAGCTTGGAAGCAATGCAAATTCTCGTCGTCTTAATTGTGATGTGGAGATGGGAGAACAGGGGGAGGTTTTTATTTTGCTTTGTTTTCCTTAAGTTCAGCTGCTGGCGGGGGAATTCAGGCTCCCACCCCCATTGACTAAGTGTGTACAATATGTGGTGTCAGACAGCATGGGCGAGAGAGGAAAGTGTAAAATTCAGGGAGCTCACGCTGTTGATTCAGCAAAACTTTAAGTGCCTATTATAAGCGCAGCGTAGTAGCAAGCCGTGGGGACTCAACAATGGGGAGACACCAGGCCGGGAATCACATTCTCTGGTAGCAGAGACAGATCTGTAAGCGAATAACGAATAACGTGGGGAGTGTTGGGCGGGACCTGGGGACTCAAGGCCACATATGGCCCTCCAGATCCCCAAATGTGGCTCCTCAACCTAATCCAAATTTTACAGAACAAAATCCTTATGCTCTGTAAAATTTGGATTCAGTCAGAAGGCTGCAGTTAAGGATCCAGAAGGCCACGTGTGGCCGGGAGGCCCCAGGTTCCCCACCTCCCGGCTAGGTGCAAGGCAGGCAGGCCTGGCCTCAATGCATCTGGCAGGGAAGCCATTGCTAAGGAGAGTGGGCCTGATCTGATCTGAAGAATGAGTCTGGGCGGAGAGGAAGAGCGGTCCAGGCAGACAGCATGTGCAAAAGCACAGGGTTGGGAGAACAAAGCCTCTGGGGGAAGGATGAGAACCATAGTTAGCCCAAGTGAAGCAGGAGCCCTGTGAAGGCAGAGGGGGAGATGTGTCAGGAAGGCTAAAGGCCAAATCTCAGCTTTTGATCCAATGAACAACATGCAACATCATCCTTGGACCTCAGTTCCCTCATCTGCAACATGGAAATAATAGTACCAACCTCATAGAGTTTTGTTGTGAAGATTAATGAGTTAATATTTGTAAACTGCCCAGAACAGTGCCTGGCACAGAGTAAGTACTACAATACTGTATTGAACTCTATCAGCCAACCATTCCGTTTCTACCATGTTGCCATCTTTGCCTACATCTGTGTCTTTGGACATTTGTTTGAATGGTGAATTATTTATAAAAATGAATAGAAGGCAGAAAAATGAAAGTGCTGATTCTGATAATAAGCATAAGTCTCAAATAGTGAAATAAAGACAAAGGAAAGTCAGATATGGAGAAAGAGGTGACTCTAGCTTCAGTCACACACTTACAGTTCTATATCTGTCACCTCCATTGTATTATAAAGGAAAAGAACTAAAAGAATAGTGTCTGGGACACAGTAGGCATTCAATAAATCAACTGAATGAACAACAATGACATTACACTTTAAAGACATTGTTGAATTTTATGTCTCTAAGACAAAATATATTTAGAGATTATATATTCTATACTCTGGGAACAGAATCCTTATGATTATATAACATAGATTTCTATTGTGCTTTCATACTACGATTTTAGCACACATGTGTTAGAGACAGATGACTATCTGCTACGTAGCAGTTTTTTAGATTTTGAGTACAAACTTGCCCAGCCCTCCTTTCACAAAGTTACATTTCTTAGCAGAAGCTGACCCTCTGTAGGACTAGACTAAGATAATCCTATTTCCCTTGTAATTAGTTCAGGAAACTAATTGGCAGGCTTTCTGACGAATGTGATGGCAGTGGTGTCTAGTGGGGAGTGAAATGATCTCTCTTCTTCCTCTCGAAGTTGTTAGGTCTGGGTGATATACTTGGAGTTGCTGTCCCCATCTTCATATCAGCCTGAGGACAGATCCAACGTTGAGAACACCAAAGTGGAAAGTTGAAAAAACCTGAATCATTGATGACATTACCCCATAACTGAGTCAGCCATATCTGAAGCCAACTGTAGTCTAGGTATTTACGTGTGTGTATGTATGCATGTATTTTGTATGTATGGTGGCTGAAAGACATCCTAACTGATACATTTCCAAGAGTACATTATTATATGGAAATAGAGGACCACATTAATTGACATAATAGGGAAGTTAGCCTTTAAACTAATTGTCACTGACATTGCTCCCTTCTCTTTTTTTCCTGTCTTGAACTCAGACATGATGTCTGAAGTTCTGGAACATTTTGTGACTATGAGGAAAGACCAAAAAAATCGCAGACCTGCCAGCCAGGACATTGTGGAATCGCTGAACCAACACCAGCAGCCACCTACTTCCAGATTTCTTGTTATGTAAGAAAAATAACCCTCTTTTTGTTTGATTTTGTGTTCTGTTACATGTACCTGAAGATATTCCTAACTGATAGAGGGAAGACAATAAATTCATTTTTGGATCTGCTGAGTTTTAGATCTGGTGGGAAATCCAGATGGAGT